AATATATCAACACCTACCAAAGATTAAGGCCCAGGCTAGCTTTTCTAAATGCTGAATTCCTAATAAATTACATCAATGTGACCTACTTCCCCATGTCCATAATAATTAGAAAAGAGGAAAAATATATTTATACACTTTGGTGCTGATAGACGTGGCAACTAGATATAAATGTACAGTAGCATTAACATCAAAGACTAGCTTAGAGATTTGGAACATGATTGAAAAAATATACAATGATCCCAAAAATCCTCTCAAGTGGCTGGCATTGTTGATGGTTGATGGTGCCAGTGAGTTTAAAGAATCATTTGTGAAAGGAATGGAGCAATATAATGTTCCTATAAGTGTTGTCGATCTTTATAGCTTTGAGAGCTTAGCATTAGTTAAAAAATTCAAACAAGATTTGGTGAGACTTATATACAAAATTCAATATGCCATAGAGAGAAAACTCAAAGAAGGTAAACGCTCGAAATTATAGAACAAGATACTTCAGAAAATTATCGACTATATGAATAATAATAAAACTTGATTAATAGACATGTCACCATCATATGCAATGTCATTAGGAAAAGTAATACCTAAAGTATCTACCAAACCTAAAAGATCTATTGGAAAGGATGAACCATGATTATAGAAGGGGCTCACAGTAAGATATCTATTAAAACCCAGTGAGCCAGAAAGAGGGCATATGCATAGAAAAACTGACCTGTAGTGGTCATTGCATATCTATAAAATCAAAAAAGTTATTGTTGGTAAAAATTTACCATAGCCAGTCTTATACTATCTTGAGGATGAGCCAATTAATTCAACTAAACATTTAATAGGTCGTAATCCCAAAAGACCTTTTAAGAGAGAGAAGCTCCAAGAAATCGAGAAATCTGAAAAGGTTGAGTACTGACCTAATAAGTTTATACAAAAATATCACCCCTCTGGATCGATACATTTCATTCATGTTTCTAATAATAAATTTGACAGGGCGCAACGATATGCTGGAAGACATGGTAGAAGTATCTTAGCTAAAACTGGGCAAATAAATAATCAGAATGTATTCCTCTGGACTTGTGAAAATGGACTGC